GCTTCTACAGAATGCTTGTAAATTTCCTTTGTAAATTCTCAAATAAATTTTAGTTTGGCGTCTGTGGTTTATATCTTGCAATTGATCTTGCTCTCAGGTCTTCCCAGTTTCGATGGTTGATAAGCTCAAGGATCTTGTCACATGTTAATCTATGGTCTCTATACTCCTAGCATAATGTGTTGTTGTCGCTCGTCTCGTCGGGTAGAGTGATAAAACGTAGTCCTCTTTTGATTAAGGTGAAAAGCGTTGATTGCACTTATATTGGGAAAATGCTCTCAAGTTGGTTTCTAGCCTCGCTAAGATATTATTCGCTTAGCGATACGAGCTGGCTGCAGTAATATTTGGTTGTGCTATTTTATACTCTCGCAACTTGTTGCTACAGAGTATAATATTTTGTTCACCTAACGGTTGTTTGTATCACCTAAACTAATCGAGTTAAATATAGGGTTATATATATATATAAATGATCAGTATGAAGAGACGAGTTGAAATCCGGGTGACTGTCTGTCCGTCCGTCTGTGCAAGCTGAAACTTGAGTAAAATTGAGATCTTTATGAAACCTGGTACACATGTTTCTTGGTACCGTAAGACAGTTTGCACTGCATATGGGCGTAATCGGACTACTGCCACGCCCACAAAACGCCATTAATCAAAAACAAATAAATTGCCATAACTAAGCTCCACAACAGGAAACAAGACTCGTAAATTTTATACAGCATCACATTAGGGAGGGGCATCAGCAGTTTAAATTTTCGTGGTCCCGCCCCTAATAGAGTTAATTACTATTTCTATACTACTGAAGCTATAATAACGAAATTCACTGGGAACAAATGTTTTTAGCATCTCTATCGACGGTGTGAAAATGGGGGATCGGGTGTTAACCCCGATCACTCCCCATATAACGGTACTGTTAAAAACTACTAAAAGCGCGATAAATGAAGCACTAAACAAGCCAGAGACATTAAATTTTATCTCTGGGATGGTATAAGATGATTTTATAGGAACCACGTTCAAAATTAGAGAGTGGGCGTGGCACCGCCCACTTTTAGGTGAAACCCCATATCGTGAGATTTAAACTGCTGATGCGCCTCCCTAATGTGATGCTGTATAAACATTACGAGTCTTGTTTCGTGTTGTGGAGCTTAGTTATGGCAATTTATTTGTTTTTGATTAATGGCGTTTTGTGGGCGTGGCAGAGGTCCGATTACGCTCATCCTCAATGCCAACTGTCTTACGGTACCAAGAAACATGTGTACCAAGTTTCATAGAGATATCTAAATTTTTACTCAAGTTACAGCTTGCACAGACGGACAGACGGACGGACAGACAGTAACCCGGATTTCAACTCGTTTCTTCATGCTGATCATTTATATATATATATCCCTATATCTAACTCGATTAGTTTTAGGGGATACAAACAACCGTTAGGTGAACAAAATTATTATAGGTACTCTGTAGCAACAGGTTGTGAGAGTATAAAAACAGAATTAGGTTTACATAAAAGTTAAAAATATACCAAATTAAATAGTGAATCAATCGGTTTCTTCGGATAAAGCATATTGAGTTCTTACGCAACAGAGTATAATAGTTTTGTTCAGCTGGATAGATATAGGGTTATATATTGTACCGGATTTCTCGATAAATCGTCTACCTATAACTCACCCTTGGTGTCGATCACCGGATTATTAAATAAAAGTCCCAATTTAATGGCTATACACTTGTGTTTATTTCTAATTCAAACAACTTAACGCTTATTTCTCGTTTTTCGAGTTTACAACTTATTGCTTATACCTCAATTGTCCTTTACACGGCAACACTGTTATTAGAACTGTGTTTGCTGCACAATCCGTGCTTTCTGGCTAGTACTAATTCGCTGTCTAGTTGCTTTTGGCAAAATATCGTCGATGCGATTTTTTTCTATCACCCGTGTTTGTCACAATATATATAAATGATCAGCATGATGAGATGAATTGAAACTCTGGTGACTGTCTGTTATTTTAGTTGTATTTGTTATCTAATCCCCGCTAGGGTGATAAGGTTCGGGTTAGTTGCCATCGAAGTCATCTAACGGTAGATTCAAGAAACGTGCTGTTTTGACGGGGGGTTACCATGGGGAAAAGGGTCTTAGAAGAGTAGTGTTCGCTGGCCATGTAAAGAGGTGGTTAAAAGAAGATGGATATAAAAGTTTAACCTAATATAGCATCCAGAACAAAGTTGCGCAAGGGTCACTCTAGATTCTCGTTGCAACTCGAGCTCTTCTGCAATGGGTGGTGGCTTGACTCCAAGTACGCCATTCACTGAGAGCGAGTCGGTGAAAGTGTTAATGAATCCACTGTGAATAAGCATCCTGTAATAATCTGGAGTACAGTATTCTGACACGTCTTACGGCTTGTCTGCGTTTCATTACATCCAGGCGTCCATATCCGTACGGCGTAGTTTAAGACCGGCCGGCCGATTGCCTTGTAAGTTGCCAACAACGTTTCTTTGTCTTTTCCCCAAGAGCTGCCGGCAAGCGATTTGAGGATTTTGTTGCGGCTCTGTACTTTGGCAGTTATCGCGGATGTGTGAGGAGTAAAGGAGCACAGGCTGTCGAATGTAATACCTAAAATTTTAGGGTTGTTGACCGTCGGAATTTTAATGCCATCGACTGAAATGTTTAGATCCAGTCTGTACTCCTTCGTTCAGTGTGTAAACATGGTCGCTGTAAATTTAGTGGGGAAAGTCCCAGGCTCTTTGCAGAGAAGAAGCGAGAAAGATCGGAGCGATAGCTTTTTACTTTTGAGCACATACCATCGATTCCACTGCCCGACGTCAATATCGTGCAGTCATCAGCGTACGAGGTCATGGAAATTCCCTCTGGTGGTTGAGGACACTACTCTGCGGAACCCCCTGTTGAATTTTTCTAAGTTTGGTGTTTTCACCTTGAAACAGTTCGGATGAATGCCTACCGCTCAGGTAGTTCATAGTCTACCCCTTCAGCCCTTCCTCAAAAGCGTTGTGTGATTGGTTGTGTCAAACTTTTGAGAAGTCCAACGCTACGAGAATCGTTCTCTCGCAGGGTGGCTTCTGGTTTAGGCCATGAACTATCTAGGCGTTTATGACGCTAAGTGCTGTGGTGGTGCTGTGCACTTTACGGAAGCCATGCTGATGGTCTGCTAGACTCAGGTGGTGAGTGAATGTCAGGAGTAGCAAGGCCTCAAGTGTCTTCACTACTAGGGAAATAAGAGTTATCGGACGATAAGACTCCCCTTTGTTTGCGAGTTTCCCAGGATTCATTAGTGGGACCACTCTTCCGCCTTTCCACACATCGGGTATTTGAAGAGCGGTCAGCGACAGGTTGAGGACCTTGGTGAGATAACTAACTCCCGTCGAGCCTAGGTGTTTTAACATCAGCATGCTTATTCCGTCAGGGCCAATGGATTTGGACGTCGGGTAACACATCGTTTGGTCATGGTCGTGTAAATTGCCGACTAAAATAACTCGCGCACTTTTCGGGTCCGAGGAGGCATGGACATCGAATTGAATTTCAACTCGGTCGTCATGTTTCCTCGGATTACTAAAACTTAGCAATCCAATCAGGGTTCGATCGCCGAAATAACAGCCCTTGACCGGATAAAATCCAGGTCTATTCCGGTAACATAGAACCGGCTGTTGTGGGAATCGTTTGAACTATATTATTGTACAAGTGAATGGCGGGTGAAGTTCGAGATAAAATAAATGTTTAGTATAAGAAGTTAAGGAAAATAAGAAGCAAAATAATAACAGATTTCTAGATAAATCTCGATAATCTTCTGAGTAAGAAACTCTTGAGTTCGATCACTGGATTGTTAAAAGTCCCAATTTAATGGCTATACAATTATCTTTATTTGAAAAAGCTTACTATTCATTTTCCGTATTCCCATCATCTTATATCTCAGTTGCTATTTACAAGGCAACACTCTAATTAGAACATTTCATCTTTAACAAAACTTCGCCACAAGAATATTCTGGCAACTTCGAATTCGCTGTCTAGTTGATTCTGGAAATTTATCGTTGATTCGGTTTTCTTCTAACATCCGTATTCGTCACACTGCATTCCTCCCAACGCTTCAAACAGTCACCGGTGCAAAATCGTGGACCGAATCAGCTGATACGACCTATCTTATGAGAGCGCAATGTAAATGAACACTCACCATAGTCAAAATAAACTTCAATATATTTGAAATATTTTTAAAATCACAGTCGAATACATTTATTTATAAATAGGTAGACTATTTGTAAAGTTGAATTTTAGTTTTGAGCTTTTACATTGTGAAAAACTATAACTAAAAAACTAAATATGTGAAAAATCGTGTATACAAATAGAACAATTGCTACATTGGTGGAATGAAAACTAAAGAGAACAACTAATTTTTGGGTTGTAACTGCGAGCTTAACTTTTGACAAATTTGGTTTGATACGGGCGGTAAGTAAGGAAGGCAAGAACTCAGGCAGCTGTCAAAAGTTCAGGAGGTCTGACGTTTAGCAATTGGAAAAAGAGGGACAGCCAGATTGAAATCCTACAGAAAAATATGTGAATAGAGAGATTTGTTGCTGCTGTTGAAAATCACTAACAAAATTGGAAAACAATAAAAAAGAAAGAAAACGCAAAATTGAAATGTATGTGATGAAATCTTTTGTGATGTCATGCTCCGTAGTATTAATTGTCAATTGAAAATGATAAAAAAAAAATTTACTAATTGAGAGTTAATACAATTTTTCACTCTTTAAGTATTGAAAGTTCAATAATCAATTGTTTTAATATATTAAAAAATCACAAAAAAGGGTTTAAATAGTATCTGCATATGTTTAACGGATACATGTATAATAATATTTAATCTTAATAAATGTTGGGTATATTAATTTAAATTCCCAAAAATTATTATTTTGTCCGATCTGGAAAGAGTTGGGCATCCCATTATCCCTGATTTGACATATTACAAATAAAGAATTCACTTAAATAAATACACTTATGGACAAAATAATAGGTGTACACAGTTTTTATTTAATAACTTTAAATAATTGCATTTACATAAATTTTGTTTTAGACATATTTACGCTTTACTTTATTAAACAGGTCACATTTGTATCCCTGAACCACTCAGATACCAAACTCGATGTATGTTTCTGGTAGTTATATTGTGGATAACACGTTTTGCAAAATGTCTCTGTTCTCAATGGTGGTCATTGTCGTTTATCCAAAATAACGGACCAACGCTTTGCCATGATAAACATTCTCACACCATTATATTTCCGCCCCCATGCTTAATTGTCTTTTTGGTGTATATACAATCAAATTCTTTGCCTCTAGGGCGATGGACAGTACTTTTATATTCATTTCAATAATGTATTTACAATTTGTTTATTATTACTATAGTCTTACAATTTTTCAACATAATACATTACATTCGTCGTTTTACCTAAACTTCACGCAACATATTTTTAAAATTTTTTAAATAGTTCGCGGGACAAGTAGTTATAAGTATAGAAACGTCAAGGTGAAATTAGCTTACTTTCGATAACAAAAAGCACTTCAAAATAATGAAATAAGATTATTTCTTCGTATGTATGTATCTACTCAGAAATTTTTTTAACATTGTTTTATTATTGATCACCTTTATTCGTGGCTTCACTCACATTGAATCCCTTAATAAATACCATACCACGCTGATAATCTTCGTGGTGGTGGTAAACAGAAACCTAATTTTGTTCTAAACCTAAACCGTCCCCCCGACATTCGGGCCTACGTAGCCGGAACCGACCCGGATTTTATCCGGCCAAGGACTGTCAACTAGGAAGAAGTCTGCCGCCACAACAACAACAAGAAACCTAATTTTGTATAATTTTGCATTTTTGGTGCACCTAAAAATTTTCGACAAACAATATGCAAAAATAAATGTTTTCAATCATAACTGTTAAAAAAATCTTTTCACAATCCGTAAAAGATACATGCATATTTGTATATATTTTTTGACAATAAATATTCAATAGCCTTTCTAATACCATTAGGAATATGTGTATAAAGTTTCATGATGATCAATATTTATATTATAGTAGGGATTATTGATTATAATTTGGTTTTGTATTCAAGACGGTCGCCATTTATGGATGAAAGAATTTATTATTGGAGCAACTTTGATTGGATCATTTAAATGAACGTGATGGGTTCCTTCCACTTCATAGTATTCAAAATGGGGGTTTTGTTTCATAATATCCAATGTTTTATCAAAATGTTGGCGTGATTCGTAATAAGGGGCTTGTAATGCTTTAATGAACACATAGGGACAATTTATATAGCGTGCCATTTCTATTGGTACTTCTTTACTAAAACTGTAAAAATACGTTGTTTTTAATCTACTATCTCGTGCAAAGTAATACTTTTGAGGATAATCTTTAGATGGACGAATTGCTCGCTTTAACAAAAATTTACACGCTTCCCTTTCAACAGATTTTTTTGAACCGTAATATAAACGATCGACCAATTCATCCCAATCATAAGAAGGTGGCTCTGAACTGATTATACGGTTTTCATGTAAAATGATATTGTTCATACAATTTTTATAATTGTCTACTATTTTTTCACTACTCCGTGCTAATGGCTTTAGTACATCCAATCCGACCATCATATCAACCTTTTCAGGAAAAAGAGCGCTAAATACGAACCCATTTATGGAACTCATAGAATGGCAAATCATTGAGATTTTGTCCCATTGAAAATAATCCATTACTCGCAACAATAACGATACGTAATCAATGGAGTGATAAGAAATTCCCAACGGCAACCACGAAGAATGCCCATGACCAGGTAAATCCATTGAAAGAAATCCAAGATGATTAGGTAATAGTGGTGCCAACGTGTCGTAACTACCTGCATTGTCCTGCCATCCATGCAACCCGAGGATGGGTCTAACATTTCTGGTGCCATACCATTTTCCCTTAAGATGACCCCAGGGGACTGGAATAGAGATTTCTTCAAACTTAAGAAATTATAAATTATTATTAGACATGTAATAGAACATTTTCTAAAAGTTTATTTTAATTACCTCTCTTGTGATGTAATTTGAATCTTTGAGTGTTATATGGGCTGATGAAAAGCGCCTCTTTATGAACGTTGTAGTTCTCATGATTTGTGTTCTCTGGTGCATTTTATATACATTACTAAACGACGATATCATTTCGACATTTAGATTTATGCGCAATCAAAAACGTGATACTTGGAATTGTGTACACAACCATAAAGGATTATATTTGTTTAAGCACTCATCAACAAATCTAAACTGTTAATGTTTGTTCGAAATAAATAGGCGAACTATGAACTCACATAAGCACGTGCCTGCGTGCTCATTTAATTACAGCTGTGAATTTCTATATTTTATCAAAAGCCTCTTATATTAAAAATAAAATAACAAAATCGTTTATACATAATTCTGTTTGGATTTTGATATAATTGTATATATTTGATATCCATTGTACTTTCTAGGTCTATATATTATATATATGCATATGGTATATATAATATAATAGCGAAAATCTTAATTTTCACCCCCAAAATTCAGTTTTGAAAGAAAAACAGACATGCCGTTACTTCATATTCACCAAAATAGGTTGCATTGTATAAATCAACAAGTAACCAATCTTAAGTTTTTAACAAATCACACACAAAAATATCTCACTTAGTACGGTTACTAAAGTAACACTTGGTACGGGTTGCCTACTAAAATTCTACTTTCTACTAACAACAACACACACAACAGCGGTTGCCTATTCTTCTGTTACAATGCAATGCGGTGTTGTGTTTTAAAATTTATAACTTTAAGAATATTTTTATTACATATTCAAATAGTTTTCGATTATTAAGATTCCTTAGTGTAGATTAATTTAGAACTGTATATATTATATGGGCTAATATAGGCCTTTTGGGGAACCGAACACCTAAAAAAGATCGATAACGAGCCTACATTGCAAACTCAGATATGGTGAACAATAACTATGCAATAAACTTTTGTTTCGAAAATATTCTTGAAAGCTTTCATTAATGTTTTCCATTACAAATTCCTTTTCACAAAAAAGTTACTATAGTACATTTCTTATATTTACATCTCTGTGTGAAAAAAGGCAGATTTCGATCAGGTGATCACAGCTTTGTAAAATTTCTGGAAAACAGCTGATTTTTTTTTAATAGTAGAATAGAGAAGGTTCAATTGCGGACCAGCGTGTGAATTGTCAAAACCTAACAAAATTTTATTAGTGAATTTCACCACATCTGGCTCGGAAGGAGAAATTTTAACAATAGCGAGTGAACAGAGCTAAGAATTCAATGAAAATTATGCTCAGAGACTTTCTTTGTTAGCCTTTTGGCTTATATTTTTATAAGTTTATATGCAATCATATTTATTGATATGAATATCATTTTTCGAATTTTTATGAATGCATGCAAAACTGATAAGATTAAATTATGGAATTTCGAAATAATATTTATAGTCAATTTGGGCATTTAATAATTTTATTTAGTTTTAACCTAATATACATTCCTAATAAATATTTTATATTATAATAATTTATCATATTAATCTTATATCTTGATATACGTTCTCTGGAACTACCACTAAGAATTCCGCAGAAATAAATTGCGAAATCAGTGGGTAATTTCTGAGATCAGATTTTTCGGTGACTTTTACGTATATTTCTAATCTTTATTTAAAGAGATTTAATATAGTTTTGTTTTTAAAAAAGAGCGGTATTTTGTCGCAGAGTATTGTTTTGCTTAGCAGTACCAATTGTCAACGTATATACTTATTTTGGTTAGAATTCCCAGCAAATGTTATGTAAACTTTGACTTCCGAATAAATTAGCAAGATATATTTGTTTATTGAGTATATAAAAAAGAAATATGGATCATGTTTAGGTTATTTAAAACTTGTGTGTTTTGAAATATTGCAATATTTTGTTAAATTTAGTTTAAAAAGTAAATTTTGAAAATCTTTTGTGATTAAAATATACACGTACATATATTTAGACGTCATATAAGAAAGCTTGTTAAACTAATTTTTATTATGTTTATTTTTCTGTAAAATGGAAACCGAAATATACCCAAAAAATTACATTAAAAAATCTCAAAACTTATTTCTTTCCTTAATGGCACCACTGCCAAATGGACGGCTATCAGAGCTAAAAAATTGAAATCAAGGAGTTCACCATTTTCTGTAATATTTCCTGTTATTTAACAGAAATGAGAATTTATAACACGTTCTCTGATAAAATACGTATCTCCCAACGTAAAGAGAAAAATTAAATACCTTAAACAAAAAATTCAAATGCCACTTCACATATGCATGATTATTTTATGTCGTATAAACGATTCTTATGATAAAAATTGATAAAATATGATTTTTTTTGCACAAAAGAGGCATGATAAAATGCGAAAGATTATACAAAAAAATATATATTTCACTTTTTTAATAATTTTCTAATTTCAATTGTTACAGAATTAATAATTTATGTATGTACATATGTACATCAATATGTTTCATTGTCTAATATAATAATATATTATCACCTATCAATAAATAAGTATGTGAGCCAATAGAAAAAATACAAACGTTGTTATACAGAAACAAAGAGAGGAGTTTCGGATCATTTTATCTATGGTGTTAAATTTTGGGCACAATAGAGTTTCAAGTTTAATTTTAATACGAGAAAGGTAAATAAATAATACTGCTGTGGAAACTAATAAAACTTTAGATGTCAGTTACAAGACAGTACGCAGATGCCTGAAAAATTACGAGCTGAAGGCTAGAGCGATCGTTAAAACCGTTCTTAAGTGATAAGCACCGTAAGGCTCGAGAGCTAAGAGCAATTGAGATACAAGCAAGAAGTTGTAAGTTTGGATAATAAGTAGTAAAGCATAAAGTTGTTGGAATTAAAAGTAAAGATAATTGTATAGCTATTAAATTGGACCTTTTATTAACAATCCAGTAATCGAACTCAAGAGAGAGAGTTATAGTTAGACGATTTATCAAGAAATCCGTTACAATATTTATCTTTTAAAACATTATGATGGTTGCTCTTACATTTTACTGCTATCTTCGTGTTCAAATTAAGAAAAAGTGTGCATTTGTTGTCGTTACAAAAACATAGAATACAAGGAATAAAATTTCAATTATAACCGTTATTTAGTAAAAAATTAGCTTTTCAAAGATAATTGAGTGTTGAAATTTCTTTGAGAAGACATATCAATTGAACTGGATGAATCTAAAATAAATATGGTAGGTAACGATGTAAAAGTTTGGGTACGACGTCCGAAAAATGCTGAAATGAGTCCCCTATACACGATAAAAACTTTCCAAAACATAACATGGTGATAACATGATATGGTGATGTTTTCCGTGGTATAGAGTTGGACCGCTGTTTTGGGAAATCATCCTTAGAATTTTAGAAGATGTAATGCTACCTTATGCTGAATGGAACATGCCTTTACTTTGGCCGTTCCAGCTTCACACAAGTTTGATTATATTTTAGTGTCAGTAACTATATATGAAATCAGATTAATAGTTCGATAAGCAGATACAAAAGTATTCGTGTTTCCCCATTTTTCATTTCATTATTTTCAAAACTAGACAAAAATTGTTAATGATTACCTTCAAACACTTTTGATTAGAATTAACTATTATTTTCTCTACTTCCTCCTATACATTGATTAAATAACAATAATGATAGGCTTAGCAATTCGAAACGTTAGTAAATATATACTATATTTATGTATGTAGATACACACAGTATGTATGCAGATGGGTAAACACCCCCACACACATACATATATGTACAAAAGTTTGCTGTGCTTAACCTAAGCAACTATTATTGCTGTGTACATACATGAAAAACCATTTGAAACGTACATGCAATGGACAAACAAACATACTAAAAAAGGGACAAGTCATGACGGCAGTGAAGGTTTTTGTATTTTCCATGTATACTATTGCTCAATTACGACATAACCTTTCAACTTATACTGCATATAAAAATGTACTCATTATTTACATTTACAGTTAATTTAAAGCCATTCACTTTTAAATTGTTTATAGTTAGTGATATTAATTATCTTTCATAATCTTATATACATTATACTATCTGCACTTCAACACTTCCATGTATGAATATAGTATTTTTCAACGAATATCTTACATGCTTAACCACAAAAGATTGTTCTTTATGTGAGACTCCCATGTATGTACGCGGATATTTTAAAGTAATTACTCAAATGGCTATCCAATATATTTGTAGTCGCTTTCTGTCCAGTTTTTGTAGTCCTTCCACTTTGAGGAAAGTTTATAGAAAAATACTGCTTGATAGAAAATAACACATTTTTGGGAGATATTCTTCGCCATTCTGGAGTGGCATGTAACTTGTAAGTAGAAATTTTTGTTTCGCTTATATTGAATATAATTTAATTGAAGTTAGCACCGCGACCTTAGGGCTATTGTCTCCTTGCTCATATGGACATTATCAATCATCGTGTAGACCTGGGACCCAACCAGCGTAATCAGCTGATAAAACACAAAAGCGGAGCCGACTATTTTTAGTAAACCATAATAAGACTACTTTCCCACAACAGTCGGGTCTAAACAACCAGAACGACCCGGAGTTTTATCCGGGCAAGCACTTTCATCTCGGCACCATTTCTCGAAATTATTTCAGGAATGTTTTCTGGCTCTGCAACAGCATGGTTTCGATTTCAGACCCTTTTGAGTAATTCACACGCATTTTTAAATATACGATTATTTATTCTATTTTATATATTCAAAATTAATTTTATTACATTTATTGAACCCCATTATATATGTACAATGCTTCTTAAGAATTAATAATATAGAATTTTGTCCAGCAAAAAACATCCATGTCTATTACTTCAATATAAAAAGATTTTGGTATTATCACTTAAAGCAACACAGAATGACAATATTTTTGCAACACCTTATTTAGTTATAAATTAGAATTTGTAGTTTTTAATTTCAATGGGAATAACGTATCAAACTTAAGAAAAAATTTCATACAATAAAAATTAATTTTGTTTCTATTTGGGCTCCGTTACTTACTTAGTATATATATCTATATATTTAAACCAAATTCTAAGGGTACTCATTTAAGCTTTTCATTCTTTTCTTTCTATACATACATAAATTATTTTTTAGTAGCTTAAGATATATAAAACTATCTTATAACAGCACACTTATCAACGAATATCTGGGGACTAAATATAAGTGTCAGCATTACCTTAAACTAATGCATTAAATAGGCGAGTTGGTGCTACAAACATTGCAGTCATAATGGAACGCTAATATAGAGTTTTAAAATTCAAACTGTGAAAGTAACAACTTATTCGAATTTGCGATATTTAGCTTGGTTTCCACTACGTATATTTTGCCCGGCAACTCCCACTACAACCGGCGCTGTTGTGTTTAAAGTTTCGCTATTATTGTTGCCAACTGTTGCGCTGCTCACTAGTTGCATTCGCCTTTTTACGACAATTTTTCGTCCTTGTGTTGGAACTAGGGCAGTTGTTGTCGCCGCCTTTGTAGTTGGTATTTTAACATTAACCAGTTCATCTGTGTGTGTACTACTGGCAGTACCGTCCGCATCATTCGGTGTACCATCCACGTCCGTATTATCATCGTCCTGAAATATTTTCAAATTTAATTGAAAACATCAATCTTTAAAAAGT